AGGAGGAGGGCGGGAGGCCGGCCGGGCGTCGGCCGGCTCCCCCTTGGGAAAGGCACCAGCTAGGTTGCGCCGTACCCACACAGAAGCCAGAACAAGGTTTGAAGTCTCTGAGAGAGGCAGGAGGAGGCTCTAAGCCTCTAACAGAAGCAGGTAACAGGAAGCTCCCTGTTCTACCACAGGTAGGGAGCGGGGAAGGGCCAGTGTCCCTCTCTGGAGGAGGGAAGCAGTGGGAATGACAAGGCACCCTGTGCAAATTAGCACGGCCCCTAAGGGAAACAGAGACAGGGACCGGTGGAGAAGTCCCTAGTAGCTGCTGGGTCCAGGACGTCAGCCCAGGGAATCTCCCCACCCAGGTGGAATATTATTTCTAGAAAGGGGAGGGAAGAAGGACATCAAGAGCTAACAGAAGAGCCAGCGAGATTAGAGGACGGGCTGGCCAAGTGATACAACTAGGCCTGGGTCCCTACAGTTGGGGAAACCAATGGCAAGCAAGCCTGCAGAGAACCGCAGGCCACCATCCTACCAACACGTGATTGGTTGGCGAGTGGACGGGGTGTAGGGGTGGCGGAGCCCCATGGAACAACAGCGGCGACAACTAGCTAACAGAAGAGCCAGCGAGATTAGAGGACGGGCTGGCCAAGTGATACAACTAGGCCTGGGTCCCTACAGTTGGGGAAACCAATGGCAAGCAAGCCTGCAGAGAACCGCAGGCCACCATCCTACCAACACGTGATTGGTTGGCGAGTGGACGGGGTGTAGGGGTGGCGGAGCCCCATGGAACAACAGCGGCGACAACTGTGAGTACACCTGCGTCGGGGAACCCCTCTGGTAAAGAACTCCACTGAAACCCTCTCACAATCATACATAACAGCAAAGTCGTGGCAGGCGGGATGAGGGGAGGGGCTACCTAAACGATGGGTGATACTAGACTCGAGACATCTGTCATCACAATCATAAAAAACCTAAGTAACAAAAGATTGCCTTTTAAAAAAGGAAACAGCTGGTGAAACAGTCTGGAGGATTTATTGGCCCTCTGTTAAATTTTGCTCTCCCTCTGATTATGGGGCTTTTGACTAGCTGGTGATGGAGCACGCAGAAAAAATGTAACTGGTGCCCAAACATGACCTGGAACAATTAAGGGCTCCCCGACCACCTCAGGAAAATATCAGAACTGAAGCAATCCTCTAAAATGAGGAATATTCTCCAAAGGCCTGGTTTAGCAGAATATGATGAGGCTAAACTGTATGCCGCTGTGCTTCAGAAATACCTGACCTATGTAAAGCAGGGTGATCTGGACAGAGGTAAATTAACCCTGTTTCTGCCAGAACAGCCCCCCCCCCAGAAGCCAGAACCCCCCTAGAAACCCCAACGAACCCCGAACGTGTTGTTCAGGAAGTATTGGATAATATGCATGTCCAATATAGGAAAAATGCTAAAGTGTTGCTCATTAAGCTGAGCCAGCACAAGAATATTTCTTCTTTGGATGATCAAGGGGGTTTTGTCTACAAAGGAATGCTCGTCAAGAGTTCTAACATGCTCAACTTGGTCCGGGGAATCCTTCAGACTCACACTGGGTCTAGTAAACATCCGCCTAATGGCTAGGACATCTTTATGAAAGCCTTGGTCGAGCTGAACGTACCGTCTTCTGTTATGGGCAATGCCATGAATCATGATCATCTGGAACGCCTGAAAACATCTGCCTCAGACCAAGAAACACCAACAGTGCCACCTAAGAAGTGAAAAACTGTTTCTAAAAGCCGTTGGCTTTCCATGTAAAGTTTTATGCTTTGAATTAAACTATTCTATGCTGCTACAATTTTTGTCTACAGAGGATTTTTTTTAAATGATAAAACACACACAGACATGTTTAAACAGGAACAGCTTTATTGACATAGCATCAACTGAGTGTTTTATTTAGACAAAGTGTTTGCGAAAGCCATAGCAAGTAATACATGTCTGGGCATGTTGAAACGTGTTTTGATCAGGTGCGGCCAGATGGAAAGTTTTATATTTACTTTTTACAAAATGCATCACCACCCTATCATTTTGTGCTAAATCGTCAGAATAATACAATTTTAAAATTTGTTCAAATTATAGCCCCTTGCTGCGGTGGTGTGGGAAAAGTAGTATCCGCAGGCGACAGATCGGGGGTCTTGTAGCTATTTCATCTGAAAAGCAGTGTCGATACTGTTCTTGTTTAAAAAGAACATAATGCTTTGAGGAAAGACAGTGCTGTTTGAGGGGTGACCGTATGAGTCAAAAAATTCTCCACAGTTCCAATCCTCCAGGTAAACACCCAACCAGTGTTCTCCGGATTGATTGTGTGGGTGCACGTTGACCACCGAGCTCAGGGGCCTTTGAGACAGTTGAGTCTTAGGAAGCCAGTCACAGGGGAAAACATCTAAGAATGTTTCTTTGGCATAAGGGTCTGAGGATAAAATGCTGGCGAGCTGTTCAGTGTCCATCTTCACATGTAGTCAATCAGGATGTTGCTCCTCTGATTTATTTCTATAACTTTGTCAAAGACCTCATACATGATCCTGTTAACCGTGATGGGCAAAGCCGCAGCAAAGCATATTTCTGCTCTCAGGTTCCTGGTTTTAATCAGCGAATAATGATCAGCACACTCGTGGTCAGGATACAGGTCAAAGGCAAACAAGGTGTACCCAAGGGCAAACACCTCACGGGTGATTATCAGGGCCTGGTCTTTCATATGTTTACCAGCTATTGATGTGAACTTCTCAAACTCTCCACGGGTGTGAAAAACTGTGTACGGGGACTATTTCAAAATAAAAGCAGCAACACCCATGTTCAGAAAAGAAAACCATGTGAGGGTGTCTAGGACCAAAGGGAGGTTTGAAAAAGGTTATGAACAAACATTCACCAATGAGACTTTCACAGTGGATGAAGTCCTTAGACGCATGAAGACACCTGCATACTACCTAAAAGATTACAAAGATGAACCTATCAAGGGTTCTTTTTACCCTAAAGAACTACAAAAAGTGAACCCCAAACAGGACAGAGTTTATAGGGTTGAAAAAGTTCTAGCAACAAAAGGAAAGGGAAGAAAGAAGCAGTTGTTGGTGAAATGCTTGGGGTGGCTGACTAAATTTAACAGCTGGGTGGAAGCCTCCCAAGTTTGTAACATATAGGGTACCTCAGTCAGAAGGCTGAGATGTGTGATGGTGGCTTTTACATCACTTTGCCCAGCAATGCTGGGC